CCTGCTGTTCCTGCTGCTCCTGCTGCTCCTGCTGCTGCTGCTGCTCCTGCTGCTCCTGCTGCTCCTGCTGCTCCTGCTGCTCCTGCTGCTCCTGCTATTCCTGCTGCTCCTGCTGCTCCTGATGCTCCTGCTATTCCTGCTGATCCTGCTGCTCCTGCTGCTCCTGCTGCTCCTGCTGCTGCTGCTGCTGGTAGTGGTGTCGTTGGTGTCGTTGGTGTCGTTGGTGTCCTGCGTGTCCTGCGTGTCCTGCGTGTCCTGCGTGTCCTGCGTGTCCTGCGTGTCCTGCGTGTCCTTGGAGTTGATGATGTTGTTGTTGTCGTTGTTGTTGGTGGTGGTAGTGTTGGTGTTGGTGTTGTTGTTGGTGGTGCTGGTCGTGGTGTTGCTCTTGTTGTTGGTGGTGGTGAAGTTGTTACTGTTGATGTTGTTGATGTGGTTGACGTTGTTGACGTTGCTGATGTTGTTGTTGTTGATGTTGTTGGATTGTTGAGGTTGTTGAGGTTGTTGAGGTTGTTGACGTTGTTGACGTTGTTGACGTTGTTGACGTTGTTGACGTTGTTGCATTGTTGACGTTGTTGACGTTGTTGACGTTGTTGACGTTGTTGACGTTGTTGACGTTGTTGACGTTGTTGACGTTGTTGACGTTGTTGACGTTGTTGACGTTGTTGACGTTGTTGACGTTGTTGATGTTGTTGACGTTGTTGACGTTGTTGGCGTTGTTGACGTTGTTGACGTTGTTGGCGTTGTTGATGTTGTTGACGTTGTTGACGTTGTTGACGTTGTTGACGTTGTTGATGTTGTTGGTGTTGTTGACGTTGTTGATGTTTTTGATGGGGTTGATGTTGTTGGTGTTGTTGACGTTGTTGATGTCGTTGCGGTTGTTGATGTTGTTGTTGTTGACGTTGCTGATGTTGTGCATGTTGTTGATGTTGTTGTTGTTGACGTTGTTGATGGTGTTGATGTTGTTGATGTTGTTGATGTTGTTGATGCGGTTGGTGTTGTTGGTGTTGTTGACGTTGTTGACTTTGTTGTTGATGCTGTTGATGCTGTTGTTGTTGCTGCTGCTGCTGTTGTTGTTGTTGCTGTTTGCCATTTCCTTTGACGGCAGAACTCTCTAAGGTGCACAAACAACTGCAACTAAGCAGAGGCCGGTGGCACCTGGAAACACAGGGTAGACGGTGTTGTCAAGGACAGTTGCCTGCAGAGAATCTGAATCTGATTGGTTTGCACAGGTTGCACTATTGGTTGCGACATGTTGGACTGGCACATCTCGAGCACCTTGAGTCAAGCTGGAAAGAAATGCAAAATCATAGTTTTCAAATGTTTTCAACCATCTTGAGGCCAGCCGGTCTGAGTCAGCCGGTCTGATGCTAGACGGCTAAGAAAAAGGGTGAGAAGGCAGCATGATGGCCTTCGTGACATCTGACTTGGCTGAGGTGTTTTGGAACCTAAGATCCAGCGACTCAACAGCACAGGTAGTGCCATGTCCTGTGCCACCAGTCTTAGAGTAGATTAGATGCCACCTTCAGAGGACTTGTTCACAACAAAAACAGACAAAAACAGTGGGTTTTGCCAATCTTGGACACAAACACACAAAAACAATAATCCACTGAGTCATACCCCGCCCCACTCACCACTGCACCAAGGGACACCGTTGCTACAAGCGCAGCTACAGCAGCTCCTAATCAGAATGCACAGCCGGACCAAGAAATGCAATCCGGAGAGGGACATTGCTGACACAGCTCCCAACTCTCAAGACTTTTTCAAGATGTGTCTACAACTTACAAGGGAAACAGACATGGCTGGCCTGCTAAAAGCATAGAAGAAATGGCAAAGCGACGGGCAATGCGTACCTGACAGATCACCATCTCCAAGAAAGTTTGATGTTTTTATTCAAAAAGAAATGTTGCGTCTAAGACTTATTTCTCCTTGTCGGGCGATTTTTGGACTTAAAACAGAACTCAGACACTGCGCCTTCAACTTGCTATCAAAAATAAAAACGCAAGAGTTCAAAGATGTAAGGCACTTTTTCGGAGACATCCGGAAGTCTTTCCAATGCCAAGAACGGCTCTGCTAGTCCAGTCTCGTCGCCTCCCGCTGGGCTTCAACCAAAAAGTCTGTGGCCTCGATGCCAAAATGTTGCAACATGTTTGGCAAGTATCTACCAGCAACCAGCGCCGGTGTATGACACCTACTGTTTGGGGCTGAAGTGCATTTAGCCATTGTATTTCTGGGTCTCGTTCAAGGACTGTGCTACTTGGTAATACTTGTCTTTGTTTAGTGAAATGTGACTCCAAAATTCCGCAATGTCCCTTTAACTTTAACATCCTTTGACCATCTGATTTTCCTCCTCATAGTCAGCTGATGTTGAAATGGGAAACACAATCGAAATGATTTAAATTGCGAAGTACATCTGTGATCATCTGTGCAAGGTGTCTTGTTTCGTACACTTCGCCAGATCCAGATTTGCCACCTGCCTGATCATCGCTCTCCTCTGGAAGCAGAGCTCCCCTGGGAGCAGTTTTCAAATGTGCACATCAAACCATGTTTCCTAAATTTGTACTATCAACTCAAATATTGATGCCCCTTTGAGTCCTTCAGGACTGCATTTTATGGGACAAAACATGTTTACAAAACACAGTGGTGTGATGCTGTGCAATGTGTTGGTTCATTGTCTTTGCTGTTCATTAACCAAGGTTTGCTATATACATATATGTATATGTATACATATATATATATAGGCCTATATATCGTGTATATATATATATATACGTGTATATATACAATATATATATATATATATATGTACGTATACATACCATACCATACGATACCACACCACACCACACCATACCATACCACACCATACCATACCATACGATACCATACCATACCATACCACACCATACCATACCATACCATACGATACCACACCACACCACATCACACCACACCATACCATACCACACCATACCATACCATACCACACCATACCATACCATACCATACGATACCATACCATACCATACCACACCATACCATACCATACGATACCACACCACACCACACCATACCATACCATACCACACCATACCATACCATACCCTACCATACCATACCATACCATACCACACCATACCATACCATACCATACGATACCACACCACACCACATCACACCACACCATACCATACCATACCACACCATACCATACCATACCATACAATACCATACCATACCATACGATACCATACCACACCACACCACACCACACCATACCATACCATACCACACCACACCATACCATACCATACCATACCACACCACACCATACCATACCATACCATACGATACCACACCACACCACACCACACCATACCACACCACACCACACCATACCATACCATACCAGCCAAAACCGTTTGAGTCTGCGGCTTGCGGCCGTAGGCGCTACCCTGCTGTTCGAAGGATTATGGGAAAGCAAAATCAGGCGAAAGGAGAATCAGTCTACGCAAAGGTGAAACAGAAACAGGCATCTGTACAAGATTCTATTAAACCGGAATTTATGTACAGGTATCATTCCACAAAGGAGTATTGGCAAATAACTATTTGATTCCGTGCATGACGCATCACGCACAGACGTTTCACATAAAGTTTGCAATCTGCACCGAATATGCTCAATTTTCGTGACTGTTGAGTTCCCCCACGATTGAATATCTCGGACTCCTCGTGAGTTGCATCGCCAAAAATTGGGATTGGTCTTTGACAAATTGTCCTATTCCCGCAAAATGACCAATGGTTCACACTGCAGTTGCAATACCCAAATATTCGCATTTTTTTGGCAATGGTTCAAAGTTTGTCAAGAGTCAAGCGCAAGTGAATTTTGGTCAAATGATAGTAAAGCATTGGCATTGAAATTACATCATATACGGCATTCTGTCCAAACATACAACATCAAAATCCAAAAAAAATGATCGAAAATAAAAACGTATAATATTATGTATATATATATATAACATGTTTCTCATGTCCAATGCCAACCCAACACAGAATCCATGAAATCCCGGTGCCTTGCATGACCAAAGTCTCCTGCAATGGGCCAAGAATACGAATGGGTCATGAAGCTCCGTCTTGCTTCCAAAACAAGTTTCCAGCCACACCACAACCATAGAAACTATATTTCATAATTTATTGTTTACAAATCACTTCGTTTAACAGGCCATTGTTGGAATTTCAGAATCGACTGTTATCGAATTTGTTCCAAAACACGTTTTCCAGCATCCGCATGCGTGCAATCTGTTGCCTACCACACACATGCGCGTGTTTCGCTAGCACCACGTTGCCAAATGAATCATATTTTGTGAATCCACCATAATCCACCCAAACTACAATGCCACCTCGTAAGTCTGCGCACGCTTTGGAGACAGACTCTGAGATCGAAACCCAGCAGCTGCGGCCACACACATCATGATTTTCACGCTTCGTCCTGCATATCAAACACGAACATCATCCGACTATCACCATTCACCTTGCATTCGTAGTCACAATGTCCCCTCGAAATTGTATTTGCTGTCTGACATACAATTTGAAATACAATATTGCAGTCAAGTTTTGACAAATCATTGTGAATTGCTATACTATACTTCGTTTGAAAAATTATTTGTACCACATGAAAGGGACCGAAATCGAAATGACATGCTGAACGGAATACTACCTTTCGACTCCGACCACGAGTTGTATATAAGCATGCATCCTTCCATTTTCCACTGCACCATACAGAGTTCCACCGCCAGCAGGAACGTTTGTTGTTCCAAAAGCTGGCTATTTCACACCCCAGGCCAGGACAGGTGACAAGGGCGGGGTTTGAAAAACAATGGGATGGGGGAGCTTGAGCGGTGGTCATGACAGTCACAAGCTTGTATTCAAGCATGCATCCTTCCATTTTCCACTGCACCATACAGAGTTCCACCGCCAGCAGGGACGTTTGTTGTTCCAAAAGCTGGCTATTTCACACCATCACTCCCTGCCTCTCCAAGCTCCTCGCCGTCGCTGGCCTGGAATAACGACCACCAAGTTTGTGGGGGGACTGCACAGTTGAGAAAGCCAACAGCCGTATTCAGAATCTTCGAAAAGTTTCCAGCCAATTGCAACACCTGAGTACGGGTGTGTCTGTCAAGCTTCTCAGCATATGTTGTGTACATGATCTCCTGGAGGTAAATTTCCATCACCCGGGAAGTGACCCATCTGCCCCTTCTCCGGACCAACTCGGAATCCTCAGAGGCCAACAACAAGTGCGTCGCACCCCCAGGGCGTAACGAACCCAGGTTAAAAGGCCGCCTGCCTTTTGACCTTTCAGTTTGAAGCCCAAGTGCTGCCAGCAAATGATTGAAACGTTTCCTCAAAGTTTCTGCTGAGTAAGGCCACAACTTTGAGCTCGCTGGGAAACCGTTGTAAATTGCTGTCAAAAGCATCAGAATGTCTGGTGGATCTATACGAGCAGCTTGGTGACGAGCTGCTCTTCCACGGGTTTTCGGTGTCTTGATTCTGAGGAGGCCGAAAAGGGTCCCCGGTGCCGCATCGCACGGGAGGATCAAATCAGACCTATCTGCCAATAACACTTCTCCAACCCTCAAGATTCCACACCATGCCAAACTGATCACACCCGCTTCCAATGGCCAACCCCACATGAGTGCTAATGACAGCATTGCAAGGAGGATGGACAATGGAAGTGCGGGGTGATGCTCAGTCGGCTCGTCAACCAACCAAGCAAAAGCAAGATCCCAAGCGCCCACAAGCTGTTTCCTCACAATTGGCCTTGCGGCCGCCACTGCGTTGATTGTCTCAGCAAACTTGCCATAAGACTTCCCTGCCAAAAACATCTCCTGTCCATAGAGAGTGAGCCACCTACTGATTTCTTCCGCATCTGGAGGTTTTGCAGTAAGCAGCTGTGACAGGTAAACCTCGTGAGTCTGGTACAGCCATGCTCTGAAGTCAGAAAGCAGCTTTGCTCTGCGGTCCAGTGTGTCCTTCCTTGCAACCCTAGTTGCAATCAGATTTGTCCCCTCACGCCTTTCAGCTCTCCCACGCTCAACCGCAGTCTGAGGTACCATGGCTTCAGCAAAACTAAAACCTACCAAAATCCACAGAGATCTAAGTGGGGCTTTCCTACCTACTGGACAAGACCAGGAGGGAAAGGAGAGGACGACAAACCAGACGAAAGGTGCCAGTACCTGACAGAGAAATCCAAATTCCAAAATCCAATGACAGACTGAGACCAGACCCCGATCAGAAGAGACTGCAGAACCGAAGGCAGAGGCAAGAGTCAAGGCAGTGGAAATCCAATCATTGAAGAGGCTGAGGGTCTTGGAGCAGGCTTGAGGAGAAGCCGATCGAGATGAATCATGGACCTCCTCCCAGCTGGAATCGTGGACCTCCTCAAAACTCCATCCTTCTCTCTGTTGCTCCTCAAATCCCTCTGAAAAATGACTGGGGAACCAAAAATAAAATGACTCTCTGCACACTGCTCTTCCATCTATGCATTCCGCCGAAGCTGGCCCAGGGAGGACGAGCAGCAGCAGATACAACCTGATCCAATTTGCAGCCCAACGCGATAGATGCTTCGAATGCATTAGCTGCAGCTGAGACTTGTCAAGATGTGGAATAAGTGACTGGCCCGAAGACTGCCGAAGTCTAACTCGACGCGTTGGGTCATCAGCAACATTCAAACGGGTCGGTGCAAACGACCACCCAGGGTAAAGTCCAAAACAAACCTGGATGGCTGCACTCCGCTTGCAAGCTCTTTGAAGGCCAAGTGAAGAGCTGCGTCCCTTTGCCAGGGCGCCTTTTGCGACCCGTGAATCCAAAAGTCCAAGGAATCTGCTGTCAGGCTGTTTCTCTGCTGCTGTGGTGAGGACCCCAATGCCTGAATGAGCTTCCAAGACATTTATGTGGCTCTTCCTCTTCCAATACCAGCTCTTCTCCTCCTTCCATGAGGCTGTCTGCAGCAGGTCATTCACAACAACGCTCTCATGACCATCAACTTGAGGCTGATCACTTTCAAGAAGCTGGACCCTCTTGAGGGCTCTGCCAAACTCAGCTGCAATATGCGCAGCAAGGGGCCAAGTGTAGACTGCGCTTCCTTTTGTCAAAGAGCCCTGAATTTTGACATGACTGTGGCCACCAGGACACTTCACCTCCAAACGTTCAACGTCCAAACCATACAGCAGCAAAACGAACTCCTTCTTGTGGGGCGAGCCAAATTGACAGGAGGCTATGACCGCTTGCCTGAAGCCAAGCCTCAAAAGTGCCAGCCAAGCTTGCATCCAGGCCATTTTGCTTCTGCGTGGCTGCTCCTTGCCACAAGGTCTTCTGAACCTCAAACCATGACGCAAGAGGACAAAGGAGCGAAAGGCCAACATGTTTCCCAGCCAGGTCTTTGGACAACTGCGGTCAAAACCTGCAGGCAAAAGATAAGATCTGACTGCAGGGTATGCCGCTGGGCTGAACGTTGTGCAAGGGGGCTCTGTCAGGAAGGACCTGAAACGACCTTGCTCAATCATGTGTAGGCACCACTCCAGGAGCCTTACATCAGTCATGTCGTAGTGCTTTGATGCAGTCAGGTCAAGACATGGAGCAACAGTGAAGCCCAAATCAGCCATGCACTTAGAGACTCGCCCTGACCCACCGAAGAACTCCACAAAGTCATAGTACATAAGCAGGCCCTTTGAAGGTCCAAGCTCTGGCAAAGGAAGGTCGTAACCCTCATGGACTTCCTCACCCGCTGCAGCAAGCATAGCCAAGGCAGGCCCGTCGAGCCTTGTGTAGCAGCCCTTTTTGTCACTACCAAGCCAAAGCACTTCAACCAAACTCTCATCAACCTCAGCTGAAACGACGGCTCCCAATCCAAGCGAAGCATCTGATGCATAGATGGTGGGGCTGTACTTGATGGCAATGTTTGAAGTTGCTAAAGGTACACAGGCGGCCAAAATACTGAGCTCCTGTGCAACTTTCCGTGGCAAAGGCAAGGCTGCATTTTTCCCTGATGCTTCAGCTTCCGCTGCTAACTGAAAGAAACCATCAACTGCAGCAGTCAAACAACGCCGGTAAAGCAAAACAGACGTCCAACTCCCAGCCAAACGAGAAGCCAGCTTCGCAGTGATCATGTTGAGCTTTGCAGCTCGCAAAGTCAAAGCTGAAAGAGCAAGACGTTTTGCTAGAGGGGCTCCAACCGTTGTGACTCCTCTTCGAACAGCTGACCTACTTGAGACAATTTCAGCACCGGCAGCTTTGAAAGTGGTTTCTGCCTCAACATCCTTCTCAGCTGAGCCTTCTAGCCCGGCAGCACTGTAAACCTCTCGAGCCGCAGAAAGAGCTTTGGCACCAAAGGTATTGACAGGGTCATGGTCAATGGGCTCACATCCAATGGCAAAGTAGTCATCAATGATAAGGCCCTCAAAAGACTTTCCAAGGGGGAAAAGCGCATGTCCCTGCAGTCTACGATGAGGCTTCAAAAGTCCACCCTTCTGCAAAACATCCTCATGAGCCTTCAGCGCAAACTCAACTCCAAGATGATCACCTTGAAAAAGCGAACCAAAAGCAGGGTACCACATTCCCTCCTTGGCAGCATGCTCAAAACTGCTACTGCCGGAAATCTCAAAACCATCGCCAACAACCTCTCTTGCCTTTTTCTTTGGGTTCTCATGCTCACGACTCTCCCAGGCATCAGTGCAGGCCAAGTCCTCCTCAGCAAATGAAAAGGATAGCAAATTGCTCCTCGCTCTCTCATCAGTGACTTTTGCCTGGTGATAAAAATCTCTACGGTCAGTGATAGACCCAACCAGGCATTCTTCATATGGCTCGATCCGCAAATTTGTAAGGAGAAAACCAGGAGGAAGGTGGTGTGAAGGCCCATCAATTGCCCTCTCTCGAGAGTTTGGGATGCGTCGGTCTCCAATCTGCCTGTCCGTAGAAACGTTCTTGTAGCAATTGAAAACTTTGCAGAAATGTTCCTTCATGCAAGGTCTCTTGTAAAGCCTCAGCAGACCTCTAGCATCCCAAACCTTCGCCAGCTTCAAATTCTCATCTCGGCTCTCACTTGCAAAAGATGGCCAAACAGAAGGGTCATCACGGTCACCATGGAGAAGGAATCTAGGCTCCTGAAATGGGAGCCAAAGGGGTCCATCCAAATGATCAGCCATAGGCCACTTCCCCTTTCCAATGAGCTTCAGCCTGGAAGCATCGAGCGCCCTGTAGGGGATCAATTCAGGGTACTCATCCTTTGGCAAAAGCTGTTTGTCCTCGCTGAAAACAGCAGGCTTGTGCTGAACATAGCTTTGGCTCAGCTCAGGGTGGAGATCGAAAAACCTCTCCAAATGCAAAAGGGCAGCAGCCAATTCAGGGCCCGAGCGGCCTGGGACAGCATCAAACTCTTCAGTGCTGTCAGCACACACAGCTATGAGCGCCCTCAGCCTCGCAAAAACGCTCAGCTGCAACTTGTTGGGACGCCTCTCAAGCTCTGCGAAGCTAGGGAACCTGCCAAGGTAGAGAAAGTCCATAGCAAAGACCAAAACATGAAGCAGTCTCTGCTGGGAAACCTTCAATCGCTGGCTCTTCGACAACTTGAGGCCACTACCGTCAAAACACCCTGGGTGAGGAGCAGGCAGGGGGAAAGCTGTGGTTGACGCCAAGGAAGACAAGCGCCAGGTTGCAGTGAAAGATCGCCAAAGGTGCCAAGAGAAACTTGTACGGCACCTCAAAAGCCACCTTGGCAAACAAAAGGCCCAGGTGCAAAAATCAAGTTTGGAGCGCAAGGGATTTGACTCCTGCCCCCTTGACTCCTGAATTCGCTCTCCATGCTTTGAACGCCAGACATCTGCTAGGCGTCGGTCTCTTCCTGTCGTTCTTGTGCCCCTTTTCCCTTTCCCTTTTTCTTGGGCTGGCCCTTCGCTTTTGGTTTCGCTGCAGCGTGGCCTGCAGCTGAGTCTTGCGAAGCTTCTGAAGGGAACTTGGAGCCGGAGTTCATCTCGCTCCGTTTGGCCGCTATCACCTCCATTTCTTTCAGAAATGCCAGAGCACATGTCACCCAACGTTGATCCGCTAAAGGCGCGAAAGAGCGCGCCCTGGAGGTTGATGACAACTGGCGATTGACGAAGATGCTTGCTGGAGCGTCTTCCTGTAGGCAAAGCAAAGTCGCCAGCTCCATTCTGCCCCCGTCGAGGCTCGCCTGCTCTAGGGACACTGCCAAGAGAGCCACTCCGTCCATGGCAGCCATGTAGTTCTCGGCCATCAAAAAGTCGAAAATCATCATGACTTGATACTGCAACTGACCCAACTCCCGAACACGGCCGTAGCCCCCAAATCTCTCTAGGTATCTCACACCTGAAACCCCCCTGTTGAGCAGCTCCTCCGCTGAAGCACAAGGGTTGCTTGTCGGGGCCATGCGTCTGCTCATGCTCTGCATCACGCTCTGGAAGAAGGTGCCACGATGCTGAGCTAGTTCCAGCTGGAGCTTTGCTCTGGTAGCTGCCCCCCTTGTGCTGGAGGAAGCTGAACTGCCCGTGAGCTCTGCCATGGGGTCGTTCTGAGCCGAAGCAATCTGCGCCACAAGAGTTGTAAGGGCCTGACTTTGTGCCAAAACTGCCTTGGCCAATACACTGTCTGAACTCAGGCCGGACTCTGTCTCTGTTGCCAGCTTCTCTGATTCCAAAGCCAAAAGTTCCTTGGGCTTCGCTGCATCTGACGAAGCCAACAAACCAAGGTTCGCCTTCGCCTGCGTCCGTGGCGGAGGACGGAGACTTCTTGCCAACTCTGAGACAGGAGGAGGATGGGCGGTCAGCGTGCCACTCAACGTCTGTCCAAGCCCCAAAGCTGAAGCCTTCCCAGGAACGGCAATCCTCTGCTCCAAAAGGGCCTGTCTCTCGGAGATCTGGCTCAGTTGCTGGGAGATCTGAGGAAGAGTGGACATGAGCCCTTGCATGTCTGCTGCCAAAGACGCTGTGGTGACCCGCTTTGGTTTGGCACCAGCGCCTAAAGGAGTAGCCTTTCCTGGAGGCTGCCTTCTGGGGCGTGGTGTTCTTGGGGCCTGATCTTCTTCCACTGCATCCTCTGGAGTGTAAAACCCTGCTCTCATATCGTGAGCTCTGGAGGCCCACTCGGAGATCATTGGAAGCATGGCATCGACGATGGGAAAAGCAAATGGAGAATCCTCGTCGAAATTGTAAACAATGTCTTCCTGGATGCCAAACTCTCTCATATGACATAGAACCTCGGGCTTGCAGTCGATGATGAGAACTTCTACATTGGTTCCAGTAGGCGACACCACACCGCCATCTACGATGGAGGCAGGGACCTCGGTCACAAAGGAAGGTCCAAAGATGCCGTCGCTGTCCTCTGCATTCCCAGCATCCACCAGCCGCTGTGGAAGAAACATTGCGGGCAGGGCCAAAAGGATTCCACCTTCTCGCCTCATAACTGCCAAAACTGTTGTCTCTGCTTCTCCATCCTCCTCCTCGTCCGTGAGAGGCCACGACAGCACGTAGGGCTTTATGGCTTCCACGGCAGGGATGATGTTGTCCATAGTGATCCCCGCATCCAGAGAGTCCATCATGATTAGGCCCTGGTCTGGTACTCAGAGATGCCAGCCCCTGCAAAGTAGATCTTGGCCTCCAACTCAGACGGGAAACCGTGAGTGATGCTGCTGGAAGTGGTGAGATCTCCGACGATCTCCCAATAGGCCCCAGCGGACCTGCAAAGGGTCGGGGACTCAATTCCAGTGGCCCGGACCACAGCGTAGACTCGTGGGCGTAGGTCCAACTGAGCCGTACGATTTGGAGAACGTACGCGGCCCAAAGAAACCGCCTGAGCCCACTGACCTGCCTTCCAGGCTCTTTTGATCCTCTCTTCAGACGACAGTGAGGAACCTGATAACTTTGCAGATAAGTCCAAAAACCTTTGAGGACAGCTGGAGAAAGATGCTTCGATCTCACTCCTTGTTTCCTGACGAGGTACTGGCACAGGATCCACAGGCTCAGGGTTGCCCCCAGCTGATACCAAATCAAATGATATGTCAGAAGCTGAAGGAGAAGCAGCACGAGGAGCTCTCTCACCCAAGGCCAAGACTTTCTGGAGGAAGGAAGCTGCCGAAGCTGATGGCCCCTGAATAGTGATTCGCAGGTCCCCCACGGAACAAACCAGCTCAACGTTGCCGTCGTCTTGAGAACCTCTGGGCATCCAAGTACCCAACTAGCGCAGAATGCCGGTTGGGACTGGCGTGAAGATCAGGAGGGACAGAGGCGAGAGAAGACAATGGTGGAAGAAGGAGAGGCCACAAAGTCCAAAGTCCAAGAAGGGCCAGACAAATACCACTGATGAGACCCACCAGAAAGACCAAAATCAAGACAGACCAGGTGGGCTCAGAGCAGTAGGTGGGGCAGCCCCAGCCGAAGTAGTTGGTTCTGGCACCTTGGAGAAGGACAGGGACCAACCTGAAGACACCCTCGAGCATAGGGAGCTTGAGCGGTGGTCATGACAGTCACAAGCTTGTATTCAGTTGCGCATGTTGCGATGAAAAACACTATCGGGAAAAATGGCACAATTTTGTCCGCATTGTGACTTCATGGCGATCTGTATGTTAAGCGGCGTCGCTTGGTTCCATACAGAAAACATTCCGTTCATATACACTGAAAATTCAATACACTGAATTTTGTTTCCAAAGTAAAATAACAATTTTCAATCCAATTTTCATCAACGCGCGCACCTTAATATTCATTTTTCCTGGTTGGCGTGCATTTTGCATTATTCCAAGCTTAACAAATCATGCATGCAAAACCCAAAGCTCGAAGAGCATAAAATCTACATGCCCACAATTTTGAGCCTCGTAAAATCTAGATACCCCGCCGAAACGCAAACGCTAAATCCTTCAAAAACTGAAAAGCGACCATGACCCTCAACGTGGAAAAACAACGACTCGTAACGTAACTGAAAGCTCGACGGCTGCCGCAAGGGAATGATTTTTTTCTCAGCAAAGTTTTGGGGTAAATATCTCATGCGGCTGGATCAATGGTTCCCAGCACACCCGAGGCCAACCCCACTTCTTCCCGTGTGATGGGATGCTGCGTCCAGATCTTTCATCCCTTCAAGGCTTTCCGAACTGCTTTCGTCAAAGGCGAGCGACTGAGATATTATCAAGTCGGAATCCACTGAGTCATGGTATGTTCCTCTGCAGTGCTTCAAGGGCTGTGAAAGGCAGCCCTCCTGTACATACAGTACATGGTAGGTGGTATGCTGACCAGAAACGCACCTACTACCGTAGGCGAAAGATGCAAAAATCCCCTTTGAAAATTCGAGGGTGCGCCGAACTCCTGATTGAGAGGAACTCTTCGCTCAATGTAATTTGACGGTTGCACTACGGTGCCGAAGTAACGGGGTTGACAAGAAACCCCACTCATCCCGCAGCTTCACTTCAGCTATGAGTGTGCCAAATAGGTAAGACCTTAACTGACCCCCGATGCGAGATCTGAGATCCGGTGCACGAAAGGGATGAAGAAGTGGCCGCAAACTCGTACTTGAAGTAAACTCTGATCATTATAATGGGGAAAGTCCGTGGAGAAAAAATTCAACAGCCGGTACCGCTCTCCAAGGTCCACCGTCATCATTGTGGTTGCTTCGTCCTTGCCTGTAACTTCGTTGTGAATTGCTCCCGAGAGAAAGTTCTGTAATAACGCGGCCCCATCCGTACATGACAGCGCCAGTATAATCCAGAACGGAGGTAACCAATCGTAGCCAATCGTAGCCACCAAAATTTGATGCCCTCGGTCAGAAACGTCCTACTGTATTGTGCGTTTGTGCTTGCTGAAGTTATAAGTAAGTTGTGGTAGTTATAGCAGTTGTAGCACATATAAATGAACTTATCGAAGTTATGGAACTTATGTTTTCCTTGAAAACAACCATGTTCCATAACTTCGATAAGTTCAAATAAGTTATTATAACTTATATAAGTTTTTAGGTTTTCAAAATTTTGGTGTTTAACATTTTTCATTGTTTTGCACGAAGTTTCGCGTGTTTGGAAGCTGTGCGGTCCAGAGGACCGCATCTTTGCGACCCAGAGGACCGCAACCGCGCGGTCCAGAGGACCGCGCTGTAGCCAGGCATCGCTTTCAAACAAGGCACATATGAAAAAAAAAACAATGTTTTTTTAAGGACCCTAAGTTCTTCCATTGTAGCCAAATCGCACTATATATTGTTTTGAATCTTTATGTATCTTTGCGTATCTTCATGTATCTTTATGTATCTTTATGTATCTTTATGTATCTTGACGTATCTTTATGTATCTTTATGTATCTTTTTGTTTCTGACGTATCTTTACGTATCTTTATGTATCTTTTAAAACCGTTCGGGAAGATACGTACGTATCTTTACGTATCTTTATGTATCTTTCAAAACCGTTCCGGAAGATACGTACGTATCTTTACGTATCTTTATGTATTTTTTCAACCGGTTTCGAAAGATACATAAAGATACATAAAGATACCTAAAGATACATTAACATCTCAAAGTGTTATATGAAACTCGGTACTACTCGCTCTTCCGCAGCTTTCCTTTTTCACAGCACTGCCAATGTCAATCACATTTCACCTGCAATCCTCAGGTTTGCTTTGGGTCGTCACGTTGTGACATGTACATAGCCTCAGACCAGTGTCACCGCTGGTCAGCTGCCTGGTGATCCAGGCTGGAACCTGCTCAGCAGGTATCACCCAACCCTTAACCTAAGGGAAGGTAAAACTCTCTTGGTCACCCCAAGAGAGAATCCCCAGAAGAGGCTATGGACTCGCCTGCCATGCAGGCTCCCCTAACCTAGGCGGACATCTCCACGGGAGGTCGGCTCTTAGGGTTGGGAGGGTGGGGAAAGAAACAGCAAATGAATGCTATTTTGGTTCAAGTTTACTTGAGCCAAAATGATAGCATTCATTGAACACTTAAAGATGATACATGCACACCCAAGCCTGCCAAACTCGATGCATGGGTACATCTCAAAGTGTTATATGAAACTCGGTACTACTCGCTCTTCCGCAGCTTTCCTTTTTCACAGCACTGCCAATGTCAATCACATTTCACCTGCAATCCTCAGGTTTGCTTTGGGTCGTCACGTTGTGACATGTACATAGCCTCAGACCAGTGTCACCGCTGGTCAGCTGCCTGGTGATCCAGGCTGGAACCTGCTCAGCAGGTATCACCCAATGCACTCAAAATCCCCAAAGCACTAAAGGAATTCAAAGGTGAGAATGACAGCGACGAAAGGCAGCTGGAAAAAGATAGTGGGAAGGTACGACGAATAAAAGTCAAAACCATGGTATCGCCACCATGGGTCCTCAGCGCCGAGGCGGCTGATGTCATCAGCCCAGTTGCTCTTGCTCTGGACGTACTCCCAGTAACCCTGGGCTCGCAGTGCAAACAGAGCTAGATGGATCAAATGACCTAGCTTGGCTAAGTCGGCATTGCTAGAACGTCCTCTCACTAGCGTCATGACGGCTGCAACGTTGTCCAGAAACCAAAGCCCGTGTCGATTTCGAAACAGGTCAGGTCGTTCCACTAAGGCGTACAGCACCATCGAGAGCTCCAACTGGGCGATGTGGGTTTCTGCAGGCTGCCATAATTTCTGAAGCTCTGCACAATTGTTGGCTACAAAACTGTGACGTATCTGGGATCCGTCAGGCTGGAAAAAGATGAGGTGAAAACCTCCTGAACCTGGATTGTCAGCCTCCACCGCAGCATCTGAGGCAGCAAGGAAGCGCAGGTTGTCCAGGTGAAAGACGGGAAATTCCCGTTTTGGCTGAAAGCGCATCACTGCTTCGATCACCTCGAAGCATGCTTCAATCTCAGGGGTTACCGATGTAGTGGCTTCATCCTGTCTGGCTTTGATTGCCATCAGGCCACCATACCCTACACGGCCATAGATACCCTGCTCTAGGAAATTCGCCAGGCCATACAACTTCGAAGCTGTGCCACGGCTGAAGTGACCTGTAGTCCTAGCCGTAGTGAGGAGGTCACGAACTTTATCATGAAGACGTTCTCGAGCCCAAAAACGGACATGCCCTGTTTGGTTGATGCAGTCGAGGTCATGGGTTAGGCCCAAAAAGGTGCCTGTGCTCTGCATTGACTGCTTCTTGTCTTCGGCAAAGGGGGAGCCTATCAACTTGCAAAGCTGGTTCATGGCCCATTGTCCGGAGCCTTTGGAGGAACGTAGGTCCGTGATGGTCGCATCGTCGAAGTAGAGAGATGTCAAAACTTGGCAAAACCGCCTGGCCAAAGCTTCCAACAACCGCGAAAAACGGTTGAATGAAGTGACCGCTAACGGAAGCCCAAAAAGGAGGCCTGCATAGACCTGATATGCTGGAGTTTGCCATTCATGGTGGTACCACACCACTATGCAGCCTAGGCTTTCTTGCATCGCCATGGGGCAATACCGGTAGGCTGATGGTAGATCTTCCTGGCCTGTCTCCCAGGCATCGTTGGCGAAGAAGTGCTCGATGTCCTCTGCTGTCCATCTATGCATCACCAAACGAATGTGCTGGGCTGGACGCAAAGGACTGCACAGGGTGAGCTTGTTGGCATCGGAGGAGAGGGCTGATTGTCCTCCTGTGTCGCCGTTGTCGATCACTCTCTGCTTGCCTGAACTCTGCGTGATGACACAACGAGGGATCAAACGATGTGCTCGGTTGCCAATGAGCCGCAAAAATTCGGCTCGTCGCAGAGGTGCGGTGCAAAACCCGTTGTTGGCATCCTCCATGGATTGTTGCAAAAGGAACTCATCATCTTTGCCTGCTCGCAGCTGGTGCAGGATGTGCTGGTTGTGTTCCTGCCACCCATCCAAAACATCTGTCATGCTGATCACCTCAGCCGGCTGCTGGGGAAAAATTCCATAGGGTGGCGCATAGCCCACTGCCGGCAAGCCACAGATCAAGCCAAAGGGGAAGCTAGTGTCAGCCCAGGATGTCAACACCATCAACAAGGCTATGAGCCCCATATCTCGATGTTTTGTGACTTGCTGCACGGCGGTTTCTTGAAAAGATCTCAAGTGGAGGGTCACCCCCTCCCAGCGTCTCTTCAGCTCGCGCAATGCCCCCACTGCCTGTTGCCTCCACGGCCTCAGCGATTTGGTCGGGGATGCGTATGCATCGGCCACAAACTCCAAATCCATGTCAGAGACTGGAAGGTCTTCATAGGGCAGCGGC